TGATCAGACAATAATTGGAGGGGTCAGATTGTTCACTAGAGTTTATGAAAATTGGAACAACAGATGCCATTTTTAATAAAGCAGGAAAAAAAAACTCAGTTAAGCACTTATTAAATAGTTTAGAGAGAACTGAAGAGAGTTCTGGATAACAATTTTGCAAGACAAGAATGTTGTCTGGACCACAAGCCATAAAGAGTTTAATTAAGATATGACTTTAGCAACAAAAGCTGGGATAATTTGAGTGTCTAACAATGGGTTAACCTGTTACGGAAGGACGAGAATGGCTATAAGATTCAAGAGTTGAATTAAAAGAAAAGTTCTATGCAAATAGTTCTGCCTTATCCTTGGGAAATGTAATAAGATCAGTCCCATGGATGAGAGATGGAATGTTAGACCTACTCTTGTTAACAAACTGTTGAAGATCTTCCATCTCTAGAGTCTTTATTCTAAGATAAGTACAACATTTAATGAGCTGAGAATAATGGAGCTTAGCATCTGACAGCACCTTTTTACATCGATTTCTTGCAATAATAAATAGCCATTTGTTCTCAAGAGAGTTGTTCTTTTGAAAAGATGAAAAAAAAATGATAAAAATTAGATATAGCAGCTGCACAAGAGGGTGAAAACCATGGAGTAGAAATAGGCATTGAACTCATTAACCTGAGTTAAACGAAGTTTTAGAGCTGTACCCTCATTATGAGATAACATGAAGAGTTGCATAGCCACTATCAAGGAGGCAAAAGCAAAAAACTATGAGAAGAATCAAGAAGATCCAGCATTCATCATCTTAGGCAGGAAACAATGTAACACAGGTTTACTATGCTAGCCTAATAGATGAAAAAGGGGTTTGAGGTTGGTTAGCAGAATTATTCTGCTTACCCCTAAAGTATTTTAGGGGTAAGTCTTGTAGGAAGCCTAGGAGACCTCCTACAAGACAGTAGCTGGATGCAGTTAACATCTGTCCAAGATGAGTATTTTTATTGAGACACCATCTCTAGCCTTTACTCAACCAAGAGCCCCAAGGCATGGGGTTTTATACTGTAGTTTATTTTTTCTAAGCCTTTGCTTAAAAACACTCTATAAGGCAGCCGGGCATGGGGAAGGTAGTACTGGATTACATAATACCAGTAGCAGGGTGATCGTGATGATTCTGAACCTGACCTGACTCGGAGTAACTAAAAGGTACTACTTCTTGCAAACAGTATCTTAAAACTTTGGAAATGTATTATGAAAAATATTAAATCTAACAAAATACTAGAGATAAGGGTGAGCATAGGTTTTATAGCTGAAGTGTCAAGTTAGTTAATGAGCTCACACTGCATCAAAACAGATCTAAACATTCAAACAGAACAAATACAAACATAAAGTAACATACGGATGAACAACAACATGCCAGAGGTTCAGACAAAACACAAACATACATATAAACTTAAACAGACAAAACACAAACACACAGTAACTTACAGGTGAGTCGACATCGCATCAGAGATTCTGACAGAACACAAACATACAAATAGCAACTTACGGATGAATGAACACTGCGCCAGAGGTTTAGACAGAACACAAACATACAGATAGCAACTTACGGGTTCAACAAAGTGCCAAAGATTTAGACAGAACACAAACACATAAAGTATATTACAGGTAAGCTAAAACAGTTATTAAAACAGTTACTAAGGCACCTTCAACTTTATTAAAGACACACACAAAAAATAATAAATATATATGTATATATTACTATAATAATAAATATATTTGCATATATTACTATAATAATAAATATATATGTATATATTACAATAAGCATGACCGATTATAAATAGTACAGATAAAAGGAAGTAAACTCCATCCAGCCTTTGCTTAGGAAGCGAATCCCACAAGGTAGCAGGACATAGAACAGGTTACACTGGGTTACATGTTACCAGTAGCAAGGTGATCATGAAGACCATACACCTGACCTGACACATGACACATGCTTAATGACCATACACCTTGATCTGACTTGACACATACTTAAAGAAAAAAAGTTTTAGTACACATTTTATACACACACTGAAAAAAAAAAAAAAAGTTTGAATAACTATATCTACTTGAATAACTCCTTATTGATTGTTTTTAATCATAAACATTTTTTTTTTTTATTTATTTTACTTCACCCCCTCAAGGCCAAGAAGGCCACTACAGACGAGGAGGCTACTTATTTTGTGGCTATAACCCTCTCTCAACTCTATAACTCCGAAACACGAACTTTGACGAACAAGGCCGCTGCGCGGAGAAACGAGTTGAGCGCGGTACTACCAGGGACGTGGTGGGGATCGAACTCGGAACCACTCGTTTATGAAGCGAGGGCTCTACCACTACACCACTACCGCATATTATAATGTATACAAATAAAACATTAAAAAAGAGAGTTTAAAACACTCTGTCACCACATGGCACCAAATTATCAGTTAGTAAGATTTGAACCTTCAACCAAAGCCAATATAACAGTCGCGGCTCATAAATAATGCAATTATTCAACTAAAGCATCAATGTGGCAATACAGGAAAAATTTTCTTTAAACTATTAGTTAAAACGCTTTTAAATATAATTAACTATGTTTTAACTATTAATTGAGACGCTTCTAAATTAAAAAATATATTAGTTTTATGCTTTTATTTTCTCTGGTTTATTCTTTATGCATTTTATCATTAAGTTTGTACCCAGGCTTTCACAGGAAGGCGTGCGATTTCACGTCTTTATATGACCACGCAAATTACATTTTGCTTGCGCTAAATGAAAAATATTCTAAAAAAGTGAAATGAATTACATCAAAACTTCTAAACAAATGTTTTTATATTAGCGAAACGATTTTAAATAAAGTAACATTTTACTGAAAATGTTTTTTTTTAAATATATAATTGACAGTTGTATATATTTTTTTAATTTATAACATATAAATTGTTTAAGTGTTCATTTTTAAAATAAACTTTATTAAAAAATAAAAAATTGTTTTGTTTTTATAAAGGATGACATTCTACGAGTGCGAAAGTCTTTTTAATGAATTTAAATATAAGAATAATTAAAGTTAATGCATTTCAAAAGATAAACAAAATTTTGTTTAAAAAAAAATAATTTAAAAAGCTGTTACAATTTAACATGTTTGATCTTAAATACTTTCATATTATCGAAACGCTTTTTAATGAAGTAAAAAAACACTTCTAATTAATTTAAAAAAAAAGTATTAACAAAATGTTGTTTTTTTAATATACATATAATTATGTATTATTTTTTTATGAAAAATGTTTAACTTTTGAAACATATTAAATAAATAAAAAATATATACAAATGATGAAAACAAAGATTGAAATGGTTTTTTAATGCGTAAATTAAATAGACTAAGCATTTTAGTTTAATGAGTTTTGTTTTAGTTGCATTATATATATATTTATTTTTTTGTGTTTTTGCTTTAACTAAGTATTTTTTTTATTTTCTTTTTTGTTAAGATTTTTTTTCTTTTTACAATTTTTTTTTAGATAAGTTTAGGTAAGTTTTTGTAGCGCATTTTTAAATTTTGAAAATAAGTTAAAAGCTGAGGTCAAATTGTTAAAACATAATATTTTGTGCGTGGTCATACCTCTGGGCATAACCCTGACATCGGTTGGGAAGGAGGCATGAACTTCCTATTAAATGCTCTTCCGCGGTGCTCTGTGATAAGACCGTAAGGACTTCTTGAGGCACCTTAATCAACTAAAAAAAATAAGATAAATAAAGACGTGAAATCACACGCCTTCCTGTGAAAATCTGTTTATACCTCTTTTCAGTTATTGTTTGTTGATTTTTCTTTAAACTAGTTTGGTTTTTTAAGCGCCTTTTTTTAAAAAAGCATATCAAATACTGTGGACAAGTTTTTATTTGTTAGGTTCGCTTCTCTTTTCAGTTTATGATTTGTTGATTTTTAATTTTCTCTTTAAACTAGTTTGGTTTTTTCAGTTTAGTTTTTATATATACACTACCATCCATAATTATTTGAATGGTCATACTTTTCGATATGAATTTTACTTATTATTTAGAGAGGAATTAAAAACAAAGTCTACCTAAATTATAAATTATCTTCTATATATTCTTTTATATGTTATCAACTTATCCAGTTTTCAATGATTTCGATGCATAAAATGAGGAAAAAACTAATAAGTTTTTTCCACATCTTATTCATCATTACACATTTGCTTTTGACATTACTTCCCAAAAAAAATCCCATAGAAGAGAGATCTTGTGATTTGGAAGGCTAAAGCATTCTATTCAATATTTGATTGTTCTCAAACTCAGTCAAATAACTTATACAACTTTTTTGTAAAATAATTTTTGGATTTAAGCTTCAAGTCATTTTCTTCTCAAAAAATAAATGTCTTCCCATTAAACCATCTTTACGAAAGTGTGGCATAATTTTTTAAGTGTACAAGTAAACTACTTAGGTGGCATTCCAACCAAAACAGCCCCACACCTTAAAACTACATCCTGCATGTTTTACATGTAGTCTACTACACACTATTTACACACTATTTTATCATACACTCAACAATTTTTTTCCTAGACAAACAGTCTTATCTTGAAACCAAAGATTTAAAACTTCGACACGTAGGTCCACATTTACAGTCATTGATTGTCCATTTTTATGTAGTTTTGCTCACTTTTGCATTTTTATTATTGTCATGATTTTTATCAAAGCATTTTAATCAAAATACTTTTAAATTATCTAATAGTACAAAAATAAACATAGAAAATAATTAATTAAAAGATAGCATTTAAAAAAAAATTAATTTTATTCAAATAATGATGAACACTAGTGTATATATATATATATATATATATATATATATATATATATATATATATACATATATATATATATATATATATATATATATATATATATATATATATATATATATATATATATATATATATATATTCCTGAGTTATTCCTGGATATTACAGGAATCCATCTAAATAAATATTACCTTCTCTGATGTCCCAAGATAGAAGCAATTATCCTTTAAATTTATCCTTAAACAAGAAAATCAAAAATTAAATCCTAAACTTTGAATTGACAATAAAAGAAGATATATATTTTCAAAACAATAACTTGAAATAAAATGCTAACACAAATTTTTTCAGGAACTTAAATAATGATTTTAAGTATTCACTTAAATAATTAAATATAAATTTTTTTTATCCTAATATTATATTAAAATAAAACATTTTTAGGGGGTGCAATCAGATATTAAAAAAAAAAGCTGTTTTTGAGTTACCCTACTACATTTTCCATTTTATTACCATAAAAGTTTTTATGGTAATAAAATGGAAAGATTGTCCGCTCAATTTATAAAGTAATCGGACATTTTGACCGACAGGAATTAAATTCTAAAAAATAAAGTGTGGATAAAAATGGCGTGCGATCAAACGCTAACCACACAAATGATTTTTTTTGTCACGAATTCACCACAACTGTTTAGATGTTTTGATGATTTAAACGTTTCAGAAATGCACTGAAAAAAGAAACGTTAACCTAAACTTAAACTAGAAAAAAAAATTAAAAAAACTAAAGAATGAGCAAAACAATTCCTTACGAAAAATAAAATAAATTAGCTTTAAAATAAAACTTGAAAAATTAGAAGTAGAAATTACTTTTATTTAAAAAAACGTAGAATATTAAATTAAAACTATTTTATAAAAAAAAAATTTATGATAAATAATTCTAAATAACAAGGAAAGATACTACAACTTCGTTAGACTAACGTTAAATAAGCTGAATAACATGACAAAGATTTTGATTTCATCACTCGGTTCCATAAAACAGTTAAATTATATTTAAAAATTTGATAGGACATTGTCCGACCCAAACAAGTTTTGATCGGACATTTTGTCTGGTACTTTATAAAAAATTAAATTGAGCCTTGCAGCTGTATTAAAAAACACTTGGTCTTCTGAACTTACAAGTAAATTAAACTCATTTTAAATCAACTTTATGCAGACAGATAAAAAAAACTTCTTGATAATGCTTTCATGGTTGTCTTAATGTTTTTACACAAACATCATTCTGCCCCCCCCCCTCATTTCCACCTCCAAATTGTAAATAACTAATTAAAGCCATGAAATTAATTTATGCTACAGAATAAAAGCTTCATACAACTTTAATGTTACCAAATGTTTTCTGATTTACACATAATAATCTTAAAATTTAAAGCTTGGCTTCAAACAATCTAGTCCTCTATCGTTCAACGTTTTTGTATACTCTGAAACTGTTTTGCAAATACCACTACCAATCACTTGTAATATAACTTATCTTGTGTTTCCTCTTACTAAAAACTACACTAACTTTCTTTATATTTTACTCAAAGAAATTTATATTAGCAATGATCATACTCCATAACAAACCCCATAATACCCAGTATTTCTACTTGTTGCCTGTGGACTACAAATTAATCCAGCATTATTGATTCTGCAATAGCTTTATTTTTTATACTAAAACAAAAACTAATTTAGCACCTAATCTCCATGTTCTGGTAAAAGATTTTTGTAATTGAAATTTTCACCAGCTTTTTTTAAAAAATTTAACAGTTCAATCCTAATTGTTATATGTTATGCACTGACCAAAAAACTCTGATCAGCAAATCAATAGAGAATAATGCTATCCACTGACTAAAGATTTCTAATCAGCAAATCACTAAAGAATGTACTGGCAATCACTATGTGTATCTTTTGTTATTCTGCATATACATCTCAAGATCTCATATTTTTTTATTCTGCACATCTATATTATACCTACCTGTAACATATCTGTAACATCCTACCTGTAACATCCTACCTGTAACATCATACCTGTAACATCATACCTGTAACATCATATCTGTAAACTTATATAAAAAAAAAATTAAAAAAACTTGTTACCTCAAATGAGTTACATTGCCTTTGTGAAATATTGATATAGAATAGCCTTCCCCTTTATTTGTATTGCGCACAAGAAAAGCACTCTCCTAAAAAAAACATAAATTGTAGCATTAACATTTTAATTAGTAAAAGAAGAAGAACTTATAAATGATTTTGCTACCATATTAGATTTAGATTAAAATGCTGAATGTTAAACATTGAGGAATACTTAATATCCACTTAGCCTAATTTAATTATTTAATTAATATTTAATTAGCACTCAGCCTGGTGTATTGTTATTTCTATTACGCTGTGGTAATAATGATTTTATTATTAAAAAAATGTGATCAATTAAAATACTCAACAAAACTTCTTGTTCCCAATGAATGAGTGATAATGTCACAAAGTAGTATAATAAACTTTAGGTTTTCCTGATAATACAACTATTTCTCTAAACCATATGATTTTGGAGTAAAATAATTTCATGAAAAATTGATGCAATGAAAAAAAAAAAAGTTTTTTTAGTAGCTTTACTTGAAAAAGTTTTATTCCTAATCGATCTAATTGAGAATAAATCTTACAATTTTAAATTATAATGATAATGTATTTATTTTTGTTTCAAATTTCAAATTTTGATATTGAATTAAAAATGCAGTTTTTGTTTTTTTTATTTTTATTTTTAACAGTTTCAAAATGTTATTATAGTTTTGTCATCATGTCACATAATCCATTATATATTCATTGTTTTTAATTCATGATATCTTGATTGTTATTAACCCATAATATCTTCATTGTTTTAACCCATCATATCTTCATTGCTTTTAACCTATCATATCTTCATTGTTTTTTCAAACTATAAAAGAGATTAATAAGACATTAAGAATATTTTTTTTTGTTTACATTTGAACAAACTCTCCATCTTAACCAACAGATATTTGATACATTACCTATACATTCTCACGAAGCTGTATGTTGCAGCCATTCTTCTCAGTTTTCCTCCATGAGAAGGACTTTCAGAGACACTGAACCTCTTAATTGTCTTATTAATGTTCTTGTGCTTCTGATGTATGTACTGATGTCAGACCAAGAGAAATATGATGACAATCCAAGTAATCATTGAAGTGATATTTGATATGTTACTTCCATCTGAGTGACATGTTGATATTAAACTTTTCCTCAGCATAATCTTTCAGGTAGTTCAAGGAGTCAGTGAAAACTCTAGTCACCATAAGATGGATTTTCTTTTCAACATAAGATATATATATATAATATATTAGATTCTTTTCATAACACCATAAGATTCTTTTCACCATAAGATGGATCTAATATCATTCCAAAACAGCTCTCAGTTACTACAAAACAGCTCTCAGTTACTACAAATAAAATGAACCATTTTATTAAGATCGTAAAGCATATTACTAATATAATATAATAATATATTTCACGAGAGATTGCAGTCAATCAAAACGCCGAGATATTTGATAACTTTTGTAGGATATAACTGTTTATTATTAATTTTGATTTTGATTTTGGATTTTTTGTTTAGATTGTGTTTTTTTTCAAGATGAAAAAAAGATCAGTTCAGTTTTTTTTTTGTTGACATATAAAGTTAGCATTTAACCAGTGAACAATACATTTTAAATCTGAATTAATGTTTTTACATAGAGAATTATACAATTTCTTAACATGCAATAGTTTTGTGTCATCAGCAAAAAGATGATTTGACGAGAAGCGAATAGAGTTGATGAATTGACAAGATGCGAAAAGATGAATTGACGAGAAGCAAATAGAGCTAATGTCATTAATATAAATTAAGAACAGAAGAGGACCAAGAACAGAACCTTGAGAAACACCGCACACAACAGATTTATTAGTAGAATTATAACCATTAATACTTACAAACCAGTCATTTACAACACCACGAATACCATAGTGTTCTAATTAAGAAATCAAAATGTTATGATCAACGGTATCAAAAGCTTTTTGTAAATTTATAAAAATACTACAAACAAAATGACCTGTGTCGAGGGCTTTCCTGATTTTTTCACTTATACTTATCAATGCATGGTAAGTAGGATGTTTTGAACGAAAACCAAATAAAAATTCATTTAAACAGTTAAAAGAGTTGAGAAAATAGTACATTCTAGAATACATAAGTTTTTCAAGAAGTTTACTAATGTTAGATAAAAGAGAAATAGGTCTATAGTTAGTACATAAAAGTTTAGAGCCGTTTTTGAAAATTGGAATAATACAAGATAATTTTAAAATATCAGGAAAAGTTCCATTTATGAATGATAAATTAAATACTTTAGAAAAAATATTTGAAAATTTATTGTTAAAATTGATCAGAATGTTTGTGGGTATGCAATTTGGGCCTATTGATTTTCTCGGCTTCAAATTAGATATAAGAGATGAAACTTCATGAATATTTGTTGGAGATATGAGTAAACAATGTAAATTTGGATACTTAAGATATTTTGTATAGTTATGTAAGACGAATGAATATTGCATTTAAGTTTTTGTTTGACGTTTGTAAAAAAAGTGTTTAACATTTTAGAGATAAGATTTGGTTCAGTTATATATGTTTCATTATCTTGTAAGCAGTTAGGAGATGAGTGATTAGTGTTTTCGAAATTTATTTAATTATTAATTTCATCCAAAATTTTTGCGAATATTTTTTACATTTTCTGTAAAGTAACTTTTAAAATGCATTTTTTTACTGAGCTTTTTAAAAATGCATTTTTTTACTGAGCTTTTTTAAAATGCATTTTTTTACTGAGCTTTTTTAAAATGCATTTTTTCACTGAGCTTTTTTAAAATGCATTTTTTTACTGAGCTTTTTTAAAATGCATTTTTTTACTGAGCTTTTTTAAAATGCATTTTTTTACTGAGCTTTTTTAAAATGCAATTTTTTACTGAGCTTTTTTAAAATGCATTTTTTTACTGAGCTTTTTTAAAATGCATTTTTTCACTGAGCTTTTTTAAAATGCATTTTTTTACTGAGCTTTTTTAAAATGCATTTTTTTACTGAGCTTTTTTAAAATGCATTTTTTAACTGAGCTTTTTTGAAATGCATTTTTTTACTGAGCTTTTTTAAAATGCATTTTTTCACTGAGCTTTTTTGAAATGCATTTTTTTACTGAGCTTTTTTAAAATGCATTTTTTCACTGAGCTTTTTTGAAATGCATTTTTTTACTGAGCTTTTTTGAAATGCATTTTTTTACTGAGCTTTTTTAAAATGCATTTTTTCACTGAGCTTTTTTGAAATGCATTTTTTTACTGAGCTTTTTTGAAATGCATTTTTTTACTGAGCTTTTTTAAAATGCATTTTTTCACTGAGCTTTTTTGAAATGCAATTTTTTACTGAGCTTTTTTAAAATGCATTTTTTTACTGAGCTTTTTTAAAATGCATTTTTTTATTCATCAAGGTAAATATCATGTATTTATATTGTTTGAAAGTTTTAACTTTTTTTAAGATTTGAATAGATTTTAAGATTCGTTTTGTAATCCAAGGTTTAAATCGATGCTTGAAGTTCTTAATACTAACTTTTTTTAAGTGTGGCGTAGCGATTCAAAGTCAAGGTTGTTTTAGAATTAAATGTTTGGAAACAAGAGTTAACATCACTGTTCTCTATAAGATTATCCCAACTAATTAAAAAAAATCTGATTTGAACTTTATTTTATAAAAGTTTTTAAAATTTCTGCAATATAAATTGTGATTGTGTGGTTTAAATAACTTGTTGAAATTGGGACAAATACAAAATTCAGGTAAGTGATCAGAAACTGAAGTTGCTAAATTTCCTGAAATAATTTCATTAGTTATTAATTTAGAAAAAATATTGTCAATGATTATAGCAGAGTGTTCAGTAATTCTTGTTGGCAAAGTAATAAAAGGGCGAATACTTTAAACAGAAAGTAAGCTTAACAAATCACAGGTCGCAATGTCATTACTTGATTGTATCAAATCTATATTAAAATCACCCAATAAGAAAACAGATTTATTTTCTGCAGATATTTTTAGAAGTAATGCAGACATTATATTATTGAGAATATTTATGTCTGTGCAAGGGTGTCTATAAATGCACCCAACAATAATATTAGATTTTTTGGAAAAAATTAATTCAACAAAAGTGAATTCTAAAAAATTATCAAACCATCCCTTCGATTATATATTAATTTATTTGATAAGTATAACAATGTTCCTCCACAAAAAGATTCAGATGGTGTGTGCTCAATACTGTAGTTATCAATGTGGATTGGATGAAATGATGGTGTTCCTTTTTTTAACCATGTTTTGGTTATACCAATAACAGAAAGTTCAAAACTCATTAAAAATAGTAATACGTTTATTTCCTCAAAATGTTTTTGCAAATATGATGATATGTTTAGATGAAATAAAGAGAGAGCATTAACTTTGTTAAAGGTTAGTGAACAGAATTTACTTATATTATAATATTTGCAAACTATGTCTATTGATGCATGGATTTCTTCATCTGAATCTAAAAAATGAGATGAAACATAATCATTAATTTGAGTAGAAACTTTGTTTAAATGAGAAGACGGAAAGAGATTTATTGACAGAAGTAAATAACCAGTTATAAGAATTTTGTCAGAAGAAAATAGTAATTTGAATTCGTTATCTGGTACATTTATGAATAAAAAGGCAGTGAGCGACTTAATTGTAGTAAATTGTACTCAGTATCAAGCTGCATTTTGAATGAGTCCAAAACAAACAAATGTCACATTGAATTGAGTGACAACTTTTTTTTTTACATAGATAACAGTTTAAAGCCATAGTTAAACTTGTGAAAATAACTTTTGCAATATTTGAAAGGATCTGGAGATAATGATTTATAAGTAAATAGCTATGTAAATAGTTAAAAATTAAAAAGTTAATAAGTTAATAAGTTAATATTAATAAGTAAGATTATTAGCCATAATAGGGATAACAATAACCAAAATATAACAGCTATAAAAAATATAAACAATAACAATGATGAATGATTATGAAAAAACAGTAAAACAAACAATTGCATATAATGATTATAACTTAATTTATCGAATAAAAAACTAATTATAAGTTAAGAGTATAATAAACTAATAATATAATAATAAAATAAATATTTATTATAATATAAAAAAATAAATAATCTAATGATAAAATAGAATCTAAAATAAATATAAATAAAAATGTGATAAATAAATAAAATCAAATATATATATATATATATGTATATATATATATATATATATATATATATATATATATATATATATATATATATATATATATATATATATATATATATATATATATATATATATATATATATATATATATATATATATATATATACAATAACAGCAAAAAATAAAGTGATTCAAAATATCTTCTTCTCTTTTAATAAATCTTTTCTTTCGATCTTATGATTTCTACCCAAGGGCCATCACAAAGAAAGTCACGGTCAGTCCCAGTCAGCTTTAAGGTAGTTTTAAGAGATACAACGATAGGGGGATTCTGATGATGAAGAATGAGATAATAGTTTTAGAGAGATCAAACTGTAATCAGAAGCACCTAAGAGTGAATGTGGAAAAACTGAGCACTGATTAGGATCAGAAACAAGACATAGATCAAGTAGAGAAGGTTTATGATTTGGGTTGTCAGGAGAGCGAGTTGGAAAGTTGACTATTTGAGTTAGAGATTGAGAAAGACAAAAGTTAAAGGCTTTATCGCCAGCAGAGTCACTGACACTTAAGCCAAGCCATTCAGTGTGATGAGCATTTAAGTCGCCAACAACAAAGATTTGCTGATTGATAAAGCTTGGTCAATTTGATCAGAAATAACATCAAAAAGAGTGCAGTCTTAAGATGAAGAAGAATGATATGGGGATAGAGAAAGGTGATAGAGTGAAGTGGTGTTAAACACTAAAAAGTACATAAAAGAATAGTCTGTGGATTTAAACCTAATTTTCCGACAAATGGGTGAATTCTTACGAATGTAAATGCCCAGGCCAAGCATGTGACTATTGGAATCTTTAGGAATTAAAGGAAGATAACCATAAACACTAAGATTACAAGATGAGACAGCCGAACTCAAATTAGTCTCAAAAAGAGCAAGTAAGCCTGGTAAACTTTGCAAGAGATAAAATTTAAAAGATGAAAAATTACTTCCAAGACCACGAATATGTGCCAGCCTAATAGTTGAAGAAGGGGAAATGTCTTAACTTAACTATGAAGTAATTAACTTAACTTAAAAAAAAACTTATTGCAAAAGAAGCAAATTAATCTTCGTAAAAAAATAAGGAAATATAAAATAAAAACTTAACTAAAAGTAAAACAAAAAAATAAAATTAAAACTTTACTAAAATGATCAAATTTGACACAATCATGTTTTATCTATAACTAAATGAATAGAAAAAAATTGTAATTTTTTAAATTCCAGCAAAAAAAGTAAAAATCGCTTATTGAAAAATGTATAATAATAGTTAAAATTTAAAATCAATCTAGTTAAACCAAAGCAAATGTTGTGGGCTTTAATGCATACAGAGTCACTGACACTAGAACTAAGCCATTCAGTGTGATAAAGTCACTAACAATAACGATATTGGTTGAAGGATAAAGCTTGGTCAATTTAATCAGAAATAACAAAGAAAAGTGTTGAGATAAAAGAGAGCAATATAAAACAAAAAGAAAGATGATAGAGTGAAGTGGTGCTAAACGAAAGCACATGAAAGTTTAGTCTGTAGATTCAAACCTAGTTTTTTGACTAGTGGACAAATTCTTATGAATGTAAATGCCCAGGCCAAGCATGTGACTTTTGGAGTCTTTATGAAGTTAAGAAAGATTACCATTAACACTAAGATCACAGCTGAACTCAAATTAGTCTCGCAAAGAGTAAGGAGATCTGATAAACTTTGCAAAAGATAAGACTCAACAGAAGAATTGTCACTTCAAATATTAGTGAATGATAGATTTAGAGAACATTGGTGATAATGATGGTTTTTTGTGTTTTATAGTTTTTGGTTTTTTAGCCATTTTTTAAAATGGTAAAAAAACTTGACTTAAAGCACAGGTAGTATTCAATACACTATCTAATAGCCCAAGCAATTGACAAATTACCATTAATAAACCATGAGCCATAAAAAATGGCTCCAAATGTGGCCTCAACAATGTACACCAAAAATATGAACAGGGAAACCATTCATGCACAACATGGCACTGTTAGTAGTCTCTAATATTTTACAGCTGTTGATGAAATCAACGTTTCTGAAAGCTGCCATAGAGTTCAAGAAACCTGGCTACTAGCTGGCCTTAGAACCATAAAACTGAGTTTTAGAATTGTACCGTCATTTGGAGATAATAGAATAAGCTCCTAGTCATGAAGACAGACACAAACAAAACCCAAGCAAGAAGATCCAGGATTCAACATCCTAAACTGAAAAAAATATATTATAAATACATCTACACCATCCTAATAGATGAAGAAGGGGTATGAAGCTTGACAACAGGTAGAATCTCTTTACCCCGTAAAGGGTTAACCTGTTTAATTGGAATGAAAAGAAGAAAACGACCATAAGATGCTTGAATCTAGGAGGTTATGCAGGAGACAAATTTATCAGCTGAGAGAGAAAAAACATCTGCCCAAATATCTTCACAAAGAAAACCACGAATTTCAGTCAGCTTTAGAGTAGTAGTAAGTAGTGCGATGATAGGGTGTATGATAGGGTGTATCCGAAAAAGAAGTATGAGATAAAAGATTTATAGAGATAATGGTCAGAACCACCTAAGGAAGAAAAAGGAGAAAATGAACATAAGCTGGTGTCAGAGACAAGATATAAATCAAGGAGTGAAGGTAAACGACTAAGTTTGTCAGGAAAACAAGTTGCAAAGTTAACTATCTGAGTAAGAGATCGAGAAATGCAGAAGCAAAAGGTTTTAGTTCCAGCAGGTTTAGTGGTGTTAGAGCCAAACCATTCAGTGTGATGAGCATTTAAGTCACCAATAACAACAATATTGGCAGAGAATAGTAAAGAAAAAAGGCATGATCAATTTGATCAGAAATTACATCTAAAAGTTTGGGAAGAAGGAAAACGATAAAGAACAAAGAGGTGATAGATTAAAGAGGTGCTAAGGGAAAGCCAATAAAAGAATAATCAAAGGATTCAAACCTGATTCCACAACAAATAGTTGAATTGAAGCCCCAAGCCCCAACAAATAGGTGAATTACAGCCCCAAGCCAAGCATGTGACTATTAGAGTCTTTGCAAATCAAAGAATAGTACCTATCAACACTAAGATCTGAAGAAGTAATAGCAGAATTTAAATTAGTCTCACTAAAAGCAATCAAGTCTGGTGAATTTTGCAAGAGGTGAGATTCAACTGATAGATGGTTGCTTTGAAGATCACAAATATTTTTAAAAGATATATTAAAACAGTTAGGTGGTGGATGCTTTGGGTTACTTTTGGCATGATTTAAGTTTCAAGAGAACTTGACTCATTGATAGAGCAAGCAATGAGCTCCTAAGCAATGGACACATCCTTAGCAATGAGCTATGCTATTATCTCAGTTGTACCTCTGGTGCAGTGTTTACTCACTTAGGGGTGAGTAAACACCACACCAGAGGTTCAGACAGAACACAAACATACATATATAGTTTAACATACTGGTGAATCACCACCACGCCAGAAGTTTAGACAGAACACAAACATACATAAAGTAACTAACAGGTGAATGAACACTGCGCTAAAGATTTAAACAGAACACATACATAATTTTTATGCTAATTTTTTGACCTTGCATAATTATAATTATATGCTGAATGTTCTGAAATTTTTATCTAAAAAACTTTTAGAAAAAAAGTTTTTAAAACTTTTAGCACTAACTATAGTTCTTAATTAATTGATAAGTAATTAAGTTATTAATTAATTGGTAAGTAACTTAGTTATTAATTAATAATAAATAACTTTTTTTTAAAAGTAAAATATAAAACAGATCTCAAACCTTATTCCAGGACTTTAAAAGTTTTATGGAGTCATCACGATTGATATCACCATGGTACCATAACTTTTCATTAATTCCATTTATTTTTGGTACAATGGGTACAATCTAAAAAGTATGACATAATACTAAATATATATACATCCCTCAGAATTAGGAAAAACGAGTTCAGCAATATATTGCCAAACTCAAACTGTTAGAGGTCGACATCAGGTTGGCAATAAAAGTTTGATACAATGGTTTTACTATAAAATATAGAAACAAAGTCCACAATTTTTTTCTTCATTTGGGTGGCACTTTTGCGCTAAAGCCTTTTCATACTTGCCTACATACTTTTATAAAAAATTGTGAAAACACTTTTATGCAATGAATTATTTTATTTAGAATTAAAATAAAACGTTTGTCTTGCCATTTTTATTTGAACTATCTTATTTTAAATTTAAATAACACATTCATTCATTTCATTCATTCATTTCTCCATTTTTAATGTAATTTTTGTAATTTCAAGAAATTACAAAAAAATATTTGCAAATACAGTAAAAATAAATTAACTGTAACTTAAAAAGTTACTTGAAATATACAAGATAAAAGTTACTTGAAACATTCTTAAAGGTATTAGACATACCTTATTTTGACTCTATTTTTAATAGTTCACAATATTGAGCAAGTTTGTGGAACAATATTTTTTTTTTTAATTATCTTTGCTTTCAACAAGGCTGCAAGCAACCACTAATTAGTGTTGGAAATTACTGGAAGAGAAAAGATGAAGATTGGAGAGCAAGATAACGATTGACAGACGACTTAAAAGATTGCAAATTATATGAATCAGGAAAGCAAGATGAAGGAAGTGAATTCCAAAGAACTGATGTTCGAGGAAAAAAACTAGACAAACAAGAGTTTTTGAAACACTTTGGAACAGTAACAGAAAAAGGATGAGACTTGATTGAATGACGAGTAACACGAGAATGAATTTTAGTAGATAGCACAAGAGACGCTAGCTCCTTCGAGCAGTGCCCATTATAGTATTTGTAGAAAAGAGAAAGAGAAGCAACATTACGACAATATGACAGAGGTTGAAGGTTGGCTGCAAGAGCAGGTCCAACTATGTTTACAATGCGTTTTTGCACCTTGTCTAAAAGAGAAAGAGCATCATTAGATCCGCCCCAGATATGGCAACAGTATTCCATACAAGGCTGGATTGAGATTTATAGAGATAGAGAATAGAATCCAGAGTAAGAAAGTGACGAGCTCGATAAAGAGAAGCAACTTTAGCAGATGCTAATTTTGCAACGGATTTGATATAAGGTTTCCAAGAAAGATCAGAAGTAAGAGTTAATCCTAGAAGATGAAGGGTAGGAGACTCATCGAGTACATTACCGTTCATAAACATAGGAAGGTCTAAATTATTGCAATAACGATTGGCCAAAAAAAATTGAGTTTTATCTGAATTAAAGTTCACCAGCCACTGTGAGCCCCATGCTGTAGCAGAAGTGAGATCCTTTTCAAGCTCAGATGCCCCCTGCAAGCAATCAGAGGGAGTTGGCTTCTTACCGTGACAAGAATAAATGGTAGTATCATCAGCAAACAATGCCACCTTAGATGTGAGAATATCTGGAAGATCGTTAATGTTAACTAAAAAGAGTATAGGGCCAAGGATTGAACCTTGGGAAACCCCTGAGGTTACAGAATAAGAAGAAGAGTGCTGTCCATCAAGGACAACTTTTATACTACGATTGGAAAAAAAGGATTCAATAATTTTAAAGATGTTTCCAGATACACCATAAGAAGAAAGCTTATGGAGAAGACCAGCATGCCAAACTTTATCAAACGCTTTAGAAATGTCAAGATAAAAATAGAGCTAGTTTGTGGAACAGATAGTTTTGACAATACGTTTTAGTTGGGAATAAAAAATTAAAATTGGTTTTGGTATAGTTGCCTTGAACTTTTTTGTGCTAATAACCTTTATATAGTACTGCCAATCTCATTGCTACTTTCCATGGGACATGGCAAAAAAGTTTCATTTTGCTTTAAGACCACTCAATTTTTATTTGAGTGGTCCTTAACCATAATGAAACTTTTACAACTGTATTTGCAAATATTTTTATTCACTCAATTGACAATATTGAATAAGATTTAAATAAGTTATAAAAATGTTTTATATCTTGTTTCTCAATTTCTTCACAATTTAAAATATTTCACAAAAGCTGCTAAATTCTTATAGACTGTTGTGATTTGCGATTGTTTTATTGATATTATATCGTACTGTATGCTTTATTGTATTGAACTTTATCGTGCTTTATTTTTATAGTTTTATCAAATTTATCAAATAAATTAAAGTAGTATTAAATCATAATTTTTTATAAAAATAAAAATAATATTAATAATGTTTTATAATGAGATTTTGTATCATACGTTCAAGATAAATGTATTTTATTGAATAACAACAATTAAGTTTAGTGATAAAAACAGCTTACAGTTTTTAAAAACTAGAATTTTAAAGACCAGAATTTCTGGATATTACAATTAGCAATCATTTATTTCAAGCCTTGTATATTTAAAATTTGGAGATCTTTGTTGATCTCCTAATTTTTTTACTTTAAATGACGACATTACAAAATCCTCATTATCTTGTTCAGCTTGATTTCATTCTTTTTTTTGGAAGATAATTTCTTTAGACAATCTTTTGTTTCCAATGTTTTCAGAGTTTCTTCCCAGGAAAAATATTCAAGCTACTCCAAGCTAATCATGATGAATGTGACTTGTTGACATGCAATTCTTTTACTGTAACTATGTCTTTTATTATAAGATTTTCTAGAAATAATTGAATTTCATAAACCTTGTCAGCACATTTATCTAAAACTCTATTTTGTTATGTTTTAGAAAGAAAAAAAAAGTTAATAAAATATTTTAGTTTAACTGCTACTCAGTAGTGACATCGAATGCATCAAATGCATTGAATGAATCACAACAAACCTTTTGCCATATAGGATACATTTCAAATATTTTTATTATGCCTTTAAAATAAAATAATAAAAGCAATACTGTTAAGTTAATAGAAAGATAATTCAATGTTACAGCGTAAAAATATAATTGTTATTTTTTCATTGTTAAAGTTTCATTTAAAACATCTTGTTGGCCTTCCCATGTCTCTTCTGTCAATAAGCCAATGGAATGCATATTAATAAGATAATTTACGTTAAGGAAGTTTTTCATTAAAAAAAAAAAAATCTTTCCTACTTAATATGTTTTTGTAAAAAAAGTTTTTAATGTAGAAATATTTCAAACCTTTTTAGATTTCTTTGTTAGCATGATTTTTTTAGATTTCTTTGTTAGCATGATGTATTTTAGATTTCTTTGTTAGCATGATGTATTTTAGATTTCTTTGTTAGCATGATGTTTTTTAGATTTCTTTGTTAGCATGATGTTTTTTAGATTTCTTTGTTAGCATGATGTTTTTTAGATTCCTTTGTTAGTATGATGTTTTGCACTAGTAAATTTTGTTAATTTTTATTCAAATATATCAAATTGTTAATTTGTTATAATTTCAAAAAAGTTTCACCAATTTATGTTGTTCTATAACTGAACTTTTTATGAACTATTTAATTGTTAAAATTTAATAAACAAATACATTGGTAGTAAAGATCATTATTTTTTGGTAGTAAAGGTCATTATTTTAAAGATCATTATTTTTCATATGTAATTATAAAAGATTTCTTAAATATAAAATAAGTTTATTTTTCAGTTATTACTAATTAGTAATTGAATAACTTCATAGATTATCAAACTTTATCAAACCTAACAAGCTGTAAAGTTAAATAAACGTATAATAAATGTAATCAATCAGAAAAAAATAAAAATATTAAAATTAAAAATTACTTCTTTTTCTATATTACATTAAAACATAAGAAGCATGCGCTTCGAAAAATTTAAAGAATTTATAGATATAATAAACTACACATTAGACGTCATAGCGGTGTCAGAGTTTTGGCCTGAAACAGAAAGTCCAATTGAATCAAACCCTAATTACAGCCAAATTACAAAGTAGTTAGCCAACCACAAGGAAATAATAAAAAAGGTGGAACATTAGAAGTTTACATACTTAAAAAATATTTATTTAAGATAAAAAAAACAATTATGCTTAATAAATGGAAACTGTGAATAGCTTTTTATTGAAATAATTAATAACAAAAATAAAAATAATATAATTGGATGTGTTTACCATCAATGATGTGGAGAAATCAGATTGTTTCAAAATTTTATTGAAAAGTGTGTTTTGAAAAAAAAAAAAAAAAAGAAAACAAGCATCTATAAACTGGTGATATAAATTTAAATGCGCTGAATTACCACAGCTTTCCAAAAAAATCGTTTTTTGATGTTGTTTAGATACAATGCCTTGCTAGTAATCAATAAACCTACTTGGGTGAATAAAACCTCAAAATTAATAACATATTTATAAACAATTACTTAGAAACGTCATTTCAGTTAGGCATTTTTAAAATAGATAAAAGCGATCATTTCCTGATCTACATTACCATAAGATATTTTTTAAGGATACTAAAAATAAAAAGAATCTTTAGAGCACTAAACACTTACTAACTAAAGAAAAAAAACTAACTAGAGCACCTCAACATAGTAGTGTGAGTGTGTGTGCGTGTGTGAGTGTGTGCGTGTGTGTGTACACAAATTAGTACTAAATAAATGATTTAAATAATAAATAAAAAAGAATTCATAAAGAAAAATAAATTATTCTTATTCAAAATTGATGTTATAAGACTTTAGTATATTTTCAAAATACATTTCAATACTGAAATTTATTTGTTTTCGAAATGCATTTACTGAAACTTATTCATTATTTATTTTTAAAATAAATATACTGAAATTTATTTATTTTCGAAATACATTTACTGAAACTTATTTACCCATTTTTAAAATACACTTACTGAAAACTATTTATTTTTAAAACACATTTACTGAAAATTATTTATTTATATAATATTTATTTCACTTAATACATTTAAAACTTATTTATTTACATTTTTATAAACCTATGCACTTTTATAGTAGTGATGTACCAATGAAAAAGGCTGATTGTGACTAATAATAAAATTTAATGTATGTATATAAAAGTAATATATCAATATTAGGTATGTAATTTGCATATATAAGTTGCATCTATGCACCAGTAGTGATTTTGCCTATTAGCTAATGTCGATGCCTTAGCCAATATCAATTAATCAGCTTAACTATCGGTCAATTATTGGATGATGGTTAAGCTGATTAATTGGCTTTGGCCAAGGCATCAACATTAGCTAATAGGCCAAACCACTACTGGTGAATAGGCGCAACTAATAAATGCAAATTACATACCTAATATTAATATATTGCCTTTATATACATACATTAAACCCTATTATTAGCCACAATCAACCTTTTTCATCAGTACATCACTTTTATAGTACAGTTTTGCAGTACTTACAGGTTTTGGAAAAGATCTTTCAGGCAATTGGGGCTTTCCTTGAACATTTATACTTTGGTTTTCAGCCTTATTTTTTTCAGGTAGTGGAAATTCGGGCGCAGCATTAATTCTAAATAAATTAAAACATTTTTTTAAACCAATTTTAAAATAATTCAATAAAAATGAACAAAACAAAAAAGCTATTTAAAAAATGTTCAATAAATGAAAATAAAATACACAACCTTTTCTTCAATTAAATATCTTAAACTACAATCATAAAACATTAATAAAAAACACAAAGATTTTGGTTTGCTGATTTTTGTTCTAATAGCATATAAATTCACTTTCTTAAGACTCCGGAGGGACTCAAAACTCAAGGAGGCTGCTTTGAGTTTTGAGTCCCTCCTTTTGAAACCTCTTTCAACCCTAAACTTTTTTGACAAATATATTTTAAGGTGTGTTCTGGAATTACACTTTAAACTATACATCCAAGAATATTCAATAAAATATTTCAACTTCAAAATAAAACCAGCCAAACAATTATTCTGCCTGTTATTATTCAAACAATTATTTTTAATATAGAAATTTTTATTATTAATATAATATTAAAATAGTTGACAAAAATTTACAACTATTTCTTTAGGAAAGTTACAATTACCCTGTAAAAAATTTTACTATTCAATCTGTTACCCTTTGCAAGGGTGTTGTTCCTCAAGATTCATGTTTCATTGCTATAAGATTGTGATAGAGTTGTAATAATAATAAAAAAAGAAAATTAAAAAAAAAAAAAGAGCCTGCTCAATTGTAGTGACTCCCTCAATCTTGTGAAAAAAAAAGAGTAAAAAAATATAAAAAAATTTAGCTGAACATTTAAAATAATAGAAATGTCCTAAAATTCATTTAGAGATTTAAAAAGAGCTCCATGAAATTATCAAAAACTTTTAAAGAAAATGTTCAAGGGTTTACCTAAGATTTGGTATCCAAGGTAACATAAACTGTAAGGTATCTAAGGTAACATAAACTGTAAATTATCTAAGGTAACATAAACTGTATTAGTTTAGTTGAAAACACTTTTAAAACTTCATTGTCCTTTTATTTCTTCAAAAATTTAATTTTTATTTTATTTTATGGATTAATATCTATGGAAAAAAACAAACAAAGAAATGAAAAAAATAAAGAAATGAAAAAAACAAAGAAATGAAAAAAACAAAGAAATGAAAAAAACAAAGAAATGAAAAGTAACTGATGAATTATTATTGGAGGTTATTTTTGCTTCTACATTTAATTAATAGAAAGGTGTAAACTACTTAATACAATTAGAAGCATTAACACTTAAAATAGGAGAGTCCTTAGATAGGAAGTCTAGATGGTACTTCTTAGACGGGAGTCCTACTAATGGTTGTATTAAAAATACTACCACTAGTACCTACTAGTGGTAGTAACAAAAAAAAGTATCTCAAACATGGATCTTATTAACTCTCCTAAGGATAACACTCTGTCTCTCAAACATGGATGTCTCTCAAACATGGATCTTATTAACTCTTCTAAGGATAACACTCTGTCTCTCAAAAATGCATGTCTCTCAAACATGGATCTTATTAACTCTCCTAAGGATAACACTTTATCTCTTAAACATGCAAGTCTCTCAAACATGGATCTTATTAACTCTTCTAAGTACACCATTCCAAATATGGATCACTCTCCCAAGGATAAGACAAAACTTATCGCAGAGAGTTATACAAACTCTTCTCGTCATCTCAAAGAGACTTATTGAAATTAAGAAATTTATTGTTCAATATTGTCTTGAAAGCAAAGATAATTGAACTTTTAAACAAAAAACCTCTTATCACGATGAAGTCTAACAACTCTATTACATTAAAGATTTTAATCTCTTGCTGCTGACTTGCTAACCATAAATAATGTTCTATCATGCATTAGATAGAACTGGTTAAGGCTTGATCCATATAATTTAGTATATGATACTGGATTGACCATTGAACAACATAAAAAATAATCTTATATTATATACCACTAATAATATTTCAATTTTATATGATTGATGAACATTGATTGATCATCTCTTTTATTAAGTTCTGTAAATAACTTGGAAAAATAGTTTTTAGGTGTGGACACAAGATCTTGAAGAAAAGGTTATAATATTACTTAATATGCGCAAGCATAATTTTTTCATTCTGATGCAAAACTTGGCTTGATGCCAACAAAGCTGCAAAGCAATTACTATTAAGTTATGAATTGATAGAAAAAAAAAAAATAGAGTTATAGAGCCCGGAAAACATTAAGATAGGAAATAGATGAATAAAAGATTTTAGAGCATGCAGGGACAAATACCGTAACCAAATGAGGCTTTGGTGAATGACAAGTCAAGCTAAAATGAGTTTTAGTTGATGGAACTAGAGATATTTCTTTTGAGCAGTGATCATGATTAATTGTAGATAAAAGAAAGAGATACAACATTACAACGATGGAAAAGAGGTTCAAGCTCAGCAGATAGAGCAAGTCCAACTATGTTTATATGCATTTTTGAACCTTGTTACAATGCATTTTTGGACCTTGTCTATACAAGAGCATCATTAGAAGAACCAGCCCAAATATGACAACACTATTCTATACAGAGACGAATAAGAGATTTGTAGAGGTAGAGAATGGAATCAGGAGTAAGATAATGGCCAGCACAATAAAAAAAGAAGCAATTTTAGTAGCTGCTAATTTAGCAATCAATTGTATATATTGTTTCCATGAAAAGTCAGTAGTAAACGATAATCCAAGAAGTCATAAAAAAAAGGACTCAGTGAGAGGGTTGCCATTTGATAATATAGGAATGTTGACATTATTGCGACGGTTGTTTGCAATAAACAACAGTTTTGTTGGATTTAAAATTTACAAACCACTGATAGCCCCAATCTGTTACAGAAGTGAGATCAGATTCAAGATTGGCTGCCTGTTCAAAGCAAACAAAATGAGAAGAATTTTTGTCAAGACAGAAATATAAAGTTGAGTCATCATCAAAACTTTAGATGTAAGGTTGTCTGGAGTCTTTACAAATCAAAGGATAGTACCCATCAACACTGAGATCTGAAGAAAGAATAGCTGAATTTAAATTAGTCTCACTAAGAGCAACTAAGTCTGGTAAATTTTGTAAGAGGTAACATTTAACTATTAAAAGGCTGCTTCGTAGACAACAAATAATTCAAAAATATATTAATACAGTTAGGTGGTGGGGGTGGGTTTTTATGTTTAATATTTGGGGTTAATTAATACAATACTCAATTATTAAGATATAACCTGTTAGGAGAAGGCATCACTATACTTGTCACCTAAAAATTAAAATTGAATATTAACTTAAAATAACAATATTCAACATAATATAAAAATAAAAAAAATTTCCTAAATATAAATAAATATATGAAAAAAATATAAATATTAATACATAGATGATGCATAAGGTAACCCAACAAATTTTTAATAAATATTTCTAGCTATTTAAACAACATGTTTGATGCACAAAAAATCGATGAAATGTTTAAACTATATAAAAAACACATTTATTTATATGAGATTAAATGCACTAGAACAAAAATGTTTCCTAAACAACTCAAATTATCTTTTACTGAGCCAGGTGTTAACACAAGTATGATTTCTATATTTACAATATATAAATCCCACACTAATCCAAGTGTTAAAACATATTTGACAATTGTAAAAATAGAAATATATATATAAAACTGCTCTAAATTCCTTCATGTATGGGTATGATACAAGGAGATCTTATCTCCCCCATGACTTACACATTTATTTAGGCCTTGTTTATTATCATAGAGGAGATAATGAGCAAGGTCTAATGCTTATTTTAACTTTAATTTTAAAACAATAAAATTATTTACATAATCAAAAAGTCAAACCTTGGATATTTCTATCTGTGATGGCTCTTTTCTGACTTTCATCTCTTGAAAAGATTTATCAACACCCCTTAGATTGAATAAAAAATTTTGACAACCCAAAAAAAGATAAATATAAGTCAGCAAACATTAGCATAATAACAATAAAATACTATGATAATAAAAAAAGCAAAAATAAAAAAAAAGACAACAAGCAAAAAAGTTACACAAAGAAAAAAAAAAAAAAATTAAATAAAGACAACAATGTTATAAAAAAATTAAAAGAATATAACAAACATATATTAAACACATTATTGCTTGTTTTTCCAACCTTTATAGCATACAATGTTTTTTAGAAAAAGAAAAAAACAAAGAATAATGAAAGAAAAGATTGCTGCCACATGCCAACAGCATAAACAACAATTTGAGTAAAATCCTTATTGCAACAAAAAAGTAAAACAATGTAAGAGCAACAAAGTTACACTCAGCTGTTACAAACTCAGTTGTTACAGCTGTTGTTGAAATCATATTAAATAAAAATCAACAACAACAATAATAAAATACAAGAAAAAAAGTTAACCTGATCACATTTTCATTATTTCCTAAAAAATAATTTTTTTTTTAAACAAATTTCTCTTAAATACTTGTAATTCACAAAGAAAAAAAATTATGGTACCTGCATTGGGTTGATTTTTAGGATCTCTTTTGATAATAGGAGGAGCTGAAACAAAAATAATTTTAAAATTTAAAAGCTAGCATTATAACATTCAACTTGCACAAGAAGAATTCACAACTCCTAATGAAAACAATAGTAACATCTTGAAATACAAATTTTATCAAATAAGGAAACTTGTTTTCAGAGTATAGGGTTGTTTCAGAGTATAATATACATATAGGGTTGTATAGGTTGTATACATATAGACTTGTTTCAGAGTATAACTACATATAGCATTGTTTCATAGTATAACAGATATACCATTATTATCTTATTGCAAAAATTTAAATAAAATACAACCCTATATGTAGTTATCATATTTATATACATATATTTATATGTAGTTATCAACTGCATATAATGTTGTATTTTATTCATTCTTACAATAAGATAATGAATGCTTACTTTAATGTTATTTTTTATTGTAATTTATTTTCAGTGTTATTGTAATTATAATGCAATTTATTTTCTAAGTAACTTTATTGTAACATGTAAAACACAACTTCAGAACTTTATATAAAAATTAAGAAGAATATTTTTTATGACATTTAATTTTCTTGTGGTATACATGCTTGTATCTATCAGATAGAGGCATTCATAAACAATTCCACACATTTAGGGGAAGGAGTTTTTTGTAGAGTATTTGTAACAGTTTGTCAAAAAGTGGGTCTCCAACCCACTTTTTGAGTTTGAAGAGTATTTGTAACAGTTTGTCACCAGTGTCAACAGTTGTCAACAGTTTTTGAGATCAAAGAGTATTTTTAATAGTTTGACACATAGTGGGTTGGAGAATAGGAGAAAAAAAAAAAAAGAAAAACTATTCATTACTTATCATTATTTATTTATTATTTATTCTTAGTTATTTATTATCTATTATTATTTATTTATTATTTATCATTATTTATTTATTATTTATCATGTATACATCACCTAAAATTAATTGAATGGCTTAATGTGAATAAATTTGAGTGAATATTTATAATTATAGTTTACCTTTTAACACAAAAATGTGTTAGGGCATGCATTGTTAAAAATGTTTTAGCTTAACAAATGATAACTAAAAAATAAGAATAATTCTAACCTTTTCATATTGAACCACAAAAGTCAAAAAAAGAAAAGTATGGCTATGTGGAACAATACTCTGCTTACAAATTTAACATATGTTTTGTTTTGCATCAGTTAATTCAGTTGTGTTTAAAATGTTGTCAAAACAAGTCGTACTACAAACAAGTCGTACTACGCCAACACATAGTTGGTACTACAAACAAGTCGTACTACGCCAACACATAGTTGGTACTACAAACAAGTCGTACTACGCCAACACATAGTTGGTACTACAAACAAGTCGTACTACGCCAACACATAGTTGGTACTACAAACAAGTCGTACTACGCCAACACATAGTTGGTACTACAAACAAGTCGTACTACTATAACACATAGTTGGTACTACAAACAAGTGGTACTACGCCAACACATAGTTGGTACTACAAACAAGTCGTACTACGCCAACACATAGTTGGTACTACAAACAAGTCGTACTACGCCAACACATAGTTGGTACTACAAACAAGTCGTACTACGCCAACACATAGTTGGTACTACAAACAAGTCGTACTACGCCAACACATAGTTGGTACTACAAACAAGTCGTACTACGCCAACACATAGTTGGTACTACAAACAAGTCGTACTACGCCAACACATAGTTGGTACTACAAACAAGTCGTACTACGCCAACACATAGTTGGTACTACAAACAAGTCGTACTACGCCAACACATAGTTGGTACTACAAACAAGTCGTACTACGCCAACACATAGTTGGTACTACAAACAAGTCGTACTAAGCCAACACATAGTTGGTACTACAAACAAGTCGTACTACGTTCAAATGCACAAAAATCTGCATAAAAGCATTAAAGTTTACTGCAAATCATTTCAAAACCGAAATTAGTCTAGTTTCAACTATTTACCGCATTTTGGTATCTTTAACAACCAATTGTAAAAGTGACAGTGGAAGAAAATAACAAACAAGGATCTTCATTTGCTTCACAGTGCTTTCAACAACAATGATTCAATAAGTCAACAAGATGCTGCAGAAAAGTTCAAGTGTACGCAGCCTTTATCTGCAAAATGTTGAAAAAATAAGGAATTGTCTGCTGAAAAAAAACAAAAGCACCAGAATACAATGAGCAATAAATACAGTGAAATTTCAATGCTGCTGGATGATCTGAAATTAAACTGACAAAATGTTTTGTTTTGGATGACAAAAGCTACTTTCCCCTCTCCAAAATGCAAATTCCAGGGAATAATCAATATTATGCAGTTAAAAGTTCTACAACTTGGAGAGCCAAGAATTGCAAACAATTGATTACCCAAATCGAAAGATGCATTTGTCAAATCAATATAAAAGCTGTAAAATGCTCCTGTTCCAACATTATGACAAAATTATGTCAAACTATGGATGATGGACCATATTAAAATGTTCAATAATTTTTTCTTTAAGATCAGTAATGTACTTTCAATTAAAATAAATATAATTTTCATTTTCTAAACATGTGTTTTGATTAAAGCTTGATATGAAAATTCTCATTTTTTAGTTATCACCCATTATTTGAATAAAGTAATTAATTATTTTTATTATTATTGTTATTAATATTATTATTACTAGAAATATTATTACAATAATATTAGAATTATTAAACTACTATAATACAATAAAACTTTTAACATTTATTTACAAGATAAACTAAATATAATATAAATATTATTTCAATACAATAAATTAAACTTTTCAATATAAAACTAGAATAACTATTTGTGGTGGTAATTAAGTTTTCTATTTGAAATTAAAATTTTAAATATCAGGAAAACATATTTTAACACTCAAAAGATATTTAAGAACTTATTTAAAAAGAATTCAACAAACAACAGTTATCAAAAATATTTAACTATTTTTTAAAGATTTTTTTTTTTTGGTATAAAATATAAAATAAGTTTTTCTCGCCACGAAAAGATAACTGACAAAAGAAAAGAAAAATGACAAAAAAAGATTTTCAAAAATTTCTTTTTATTAACAAAAGCATTAACAAAAATAAAAACATAAAAAAATAAAAACAGGTTGATGAACATTTAAAAAGAAAATTTTTTTGTTTTGTTTTTGTACAACAATGTTGCCATCACAACACCATCACCAATGTTGACATCACAACATCATCATATACATTTAAAGAAAGCATTAACTATTCATTATTTAACAAATAAAAAAAAAAATTAAGTTAACACAAAGAAACAAATATCGATGGAAGATTTACCATTTAGAGTTTCATCAAGTGGAGAATCTTTAGTTTTTTGTTGAGGTTGTGTAAAAAAAAGTGGTACATTTGGTTGAATATAGGTATTATTTCTTGATAATGTGCCAGCACTAACAACTGAAGGGTTAGTTTTTGTATCTACAGGTTTTACTGGAGACATTTCTTTTAAAACTGGCTTTGTATGACTGTTTGTTTGATCACATATTTCATAATTTTCATCATCAAGTTCATGAGGATTATTCTTTTGATTGAAATGTTCTTGTTCATTTGGTAATGATGGCAATATGCGTGATTTTATTGGCGGTTTTTGAGCTGTCAAAAGACTTAACTGTTTTTTAAAAGATTCTTTGTTAGAAATTGGTGACTCAGGCTTTGTTGATTGGATTTCAGGAGGCTTTTTTGGCTGGATTTCAGGAGGTTTTTTACTCGCCAAGATTGGTTGGGGTTTTACACTAGAAATTTCATTGATCGAACTTCTTTTTTGAATTGTGTTATTACTTACTGGCGCTGTAATTAATGGTGACTTTTTTTCTGTAAAATGAAACATTTTAACAATTATAATTTATTTAAATTTTAAAGGGATCCCAAACTCCTAACACATGTTGTGTTCATATTAAAGATAATGTTAAAAAAAAAGGTTTGAACCAAGTTTTTTTGATTAAAAATAAATAATGAATGCATACCCAGAAAAACTAATGTTGTTGTTTTAGCCGAAGCTTGCCTTCTCCATTTTTTTTCAATAACTCGGAGTCTTTAAATTATACGCCGCAATCTACAGACTTTGGCGATTCCTTTGAAGCGCGTTTAATTCATAAAAGTTTTAGTATTTGACATCACGGTAGATTTTTAACAAAAGAAAAGTGTAATTAAACAAAGCTGCGTTTTTCTACTTTAATTCAAAAAGTACGATGTAGTAACTTTTTAACTTTCAGCAAAACAACTTTTACAATTAAAACAAAAGATTTTTATTTCATAGGAGGAACTTTTTTTTTACCGATATCTTAATAATTTTTAGATTTTTATATCTTATAATTCTTTTGTTTTTAAATTAAAACAAATATTAAAGCTTTACTTATGAATCTTTTGATTTTCATACGAGTATTTTACATTACATAGAACGTTATGTATACGGTCTCTCGTTTTCATGCAAGAGAGCGCAGTATTATATATTCTGAATCTTACTTATTTTTATTTAAACAATAAGAACTTTTTTCTAACTTCTCTGGCTATTTTTACGCTATGATATTTTTTGTTTTCCCGTCGAAAAAAAATATTTATTAACAATTAATTTCGTAAACTGACAGTATTAATTAGAGAGATTTGATGAATTGTTAACTTTTTTTATTATAAAATATTTTTGATTATGTTGATTTATTTTAAATTGCTAAATTTGCTGAATTGGGTACAGATAAAAAGGAAATATCATTTTATTTTACATTTGATTTTTGATAATGAAACTTTTAAAATGTCGGCTACTCCATACCAATTAGAACCTGTTAGGGTTATGACAAAAAAGTACAAGAATACACTAAACAATACAGTTGACAGTAGTATCAGATATGAAAACTCGTGAAAGTGAGATCCTGGTTTTGCATTAAAAGTACAATCAATAGCAACACAAGTCGGCATTATAAATTTTGATTATAAGTTTACTGTTCAATATTTTATAGCCATCAAATAAAAAACATGAAGTTTGTATATTTTCGCCTGTTTTATACAACTAATATTTAACAAAAATACGGAAAAATTATTATTATATAACGCAATAACACATTAACTAATGGCAATAATTCAATATAAATGGTAATTGAAATTGTCAAAATAGCATAACGCACATTAAAAAACATATTATGTTTGGTATTTCCCAATTTGTGTCGTATTTGGCACATGTCTTTTAACATAAAAAAATTTAAATTTTTTTAAAACACAACAAATACAAATTTTCAAGCTATTTTCTCTTTCGATTTTCATTTATTCAAAGAAAAGTTTACTAATAAACTTTTATTTTTCTTATCTAAAAAAAAGAACGAGTGATGTAAAAAAAAAATATTCTATACAACTCTTATTCATTCAAAGTTTAATTAAGCGAAACTTTTCTTTCTCTTTTGTTCTACTCCTTTATAAAAAGAGCGAGCAATGAAATAAAAACTTTTCTTTCTTAACATAAATTTATACTTAGAGATAAAATTAAATTAGAAATAAATCAAAAATAAACAAAGCAACTAACAGATTAATATGGGACTATTTTGATATTATTGAAAATAATCAACATAAACAACATTACCAAAAACAATTATCAAATAAACAATACAAATCACATAAATTTAGGGGCTTTTTATTTTTATTGCTTAGTCGTTCTAAATAATTAGTAAATTTAGTTCAAGTTAATATTTCCATATTTACAGTTGGAATATTTTAAAGAAATGATGTTTAATGTTGAACTTTTTATTCAATTATTTTTTTTATACCTATATTTGTTATAAAAAACTTTCAAACCCCCGTCATTAAAATAATTTGTTTTAAATATATTTAAAAGCGATTATTCAAACAAATTTTTTTCGCTTGACTTCCCGAATTTCATGCAAAGCAAATTGAGACAAAATATTGTCTAACCAAATAAAAATGCTGTTACTAATTTTATAAGGGTAATTAATGTAAAACAATTCTTTATCAGAGTCTTGATTGAGATAATAGATATTCATATTCAGAGTCTTGATTGAGATAATAGTTATTCATAATTTGTAAACATTAAATATATGGTGCAATAACAATTTATAGCAACGAACCAGCATAAAATATTTGAGGTTTTTAATATCTTTTTAAATGTTAAAAAATGGAAAAAAAAAACTAAACAAATAATCAAAAAAAGTTCGAATAAAAATAAATAAAAATATTTCCAGAGTTTCATTTGTTAAAGTCTACCGTGATGTCAAATACTAATACTTTATGAATTAAAAGCGCTTCAAAGGAATCGCCAAAGTCTGTAGATTGCGACGTATAATTTAAAGACTCTGAGTTATTGAAAAAAATGGAGAAGGCGAGTTTCGGCTAAAACAACAGCATTAGTTTTTCTCAGTATGCATTCATTATTTATTTTTAATCAAAAAAACTTGGTTCAAACCTTTTTTTTTAACATTATCTTTAATATGAACACAACATGTGTTAGGAGTTTAAGATCCCTTTAAACATTTTAATTTGAGATTTTTAAACACTTAGTAATAAACTTTCATTAATTTTTTATTTAGAAACTTAAAATTATGAACATTTTGAGTATTGAAAAAACTTTATAAAAAATTTAAAAAAAAACTTTACCTTCAATGTTTTTATTGTAACTTTCAGAAGGTTCAATCTAAATTATTTAAATTATTTAAAATCATTTAAACAATTAATATACATTTGAAAAAATAAACAGAAAAAATGAAAGATGAACAGAAGAAAAGAAAAACTTTGAATAACATAAAACAGAAAACACAGAAAAAAGCTTAAAAAATTAATAAAAAAAAAAAAAAATTTGAAAATTATTAAAAGTAAAAAAGAACTTTTTTTTAATCATAAAATTAATTTTTTTATCACAGTATTAATTTTTAAATTACATAATTTAAAAAAATTAAACCTTAAGTAATTAAGTCACCAATGATAAAGACATGGAAATGACTATGTTTGTAAATGTGAACTATTTAACATATAATTAAAAAAAATGTTTAGCTTCAAGTATTCATTAGTAAAATTAGTGTTTTGATTACTTTAAATTTTATAAAGCAAAGAAACAAATAAACAAAATAAAACAACAACAAACAAATTAAAATATATCATTAATTTAAATTATATAATTAATATCAAAAATTATATCATTAATTTAATTCTTTTGATTCACAAAAACACAACTTTTTGGTTGATTTCAGGTGCTAAAACAACAAAGATTTTCCTGTTATAATTGATAAAATAATCACAAGCACTGAGAAGATAATTATGAAAAAAAAATATTTTTCAGTCTGCATTTTTTATTCAATTAATAAAAAAACAACTGTTTGCTTCTAGCCACAATGTTAGTTTTATATACCTAATTTAGTTACTTATTTAAAAACTCTTACAGATGAATTAAAGCTACAGACTACAATGAGGTACAAAATGATTCCAATATAAAACAGTATTAAACTAACATTAATAAAGAAACAAGTTCACTTTTAAGTATTAAAATTATTTAATACTTTATAAAAATTATTACACATATGTAGTTTACAAATAAATTCAGCAGTTAAAAATGAAATTTGCTAATTTTAGAGGGAAAAAAATAAGAATGTTCTTTTCTTCACAAACTCAAATTCTTGTGTTGTAAGTCCTAAAGAAAATATTGAACAAGAAAAAGACATTGCTTTTACTGAATTATCTGTTAATAGAATAATTATAATGTAACTCAGAAGCCTAAAGTAATATTTTGACAAAAAACATTTATAACAACAGGAGAACCTCCTGAATTCAAGTAATATAAAAGTTACAAGTCAAACTTCAACAGATGCCATTTTCTAGCAGGCAAGAAAACAAGACTCAATCAAGCGCTTATTAAATAGTTTAGATGAAATTGAAGAGAGTTCTGGAGAACAATTTTGTAAGAATGTGACATAGACATAAATGACATGTTGTCTGGACTGTAAAAGAATAAAGAATGTGAATGAAGAATCAAGATATAACTTTAGCAACTAATTCTGGATTGATTATACATTGCAAAAAAAAAACAAAAAAAACCAATTGAACATTTTTTAAAGTCAAACAATTACAGGTAAACCAATAAGTTCAATATAACTATATATAAAAATTGTTTTAAATTTTTCTGTTAAGGTTAAACAGAAAATAACTGTTCCTTAAAATAAGCATTATTGCAACCTATACTTTATTTTAAAATAAGTTAAAAACAGGATTTTATAGGAAAAAGTTCATAGCTTCCCAAAATATTGATAACAAACATATTTATCAACTCAATAAAGCATTGTAACAACAATCATCTTCAAAGTTGTTGCATTGATTTAACAAGGTTTGATCATGTAAATTTTCTTGAAACCGAACAATTAAAAACAGGCCAGTTAAAATTGAAACTAAAATCATTCACAACAAGAGCTACTAATCATTATCATCATCATCATCATCATCATCATCATTGTCACTGTTATCATCTTCATCAACATCTTCATCATCATCGCCATCATTATCATCATTGCCATCTTTATCATGATCATCATCATTATTAAACTAATCATCATGATCATTATCATCATCATTAAACTCATCATCATCATTATCATCTTCATCATCATTAATATCATCATTGTCATTGTCATCATCATCATCATCATCATCATCATCATCATCATCATCATCATCATCATCATCATCATCATCATCATCATCATCATCATCATCATCATCATCATCATTAGCATATCATCATCATCGTTTTCCTAATTTTTCTACTAAGCTATCTCTCTAAGTACTCATAGCCAATCATCTGCATCTTGATGCTCACAAAGATCTTCTTTTCTTTATATTTTTTTGCCAACTTTATGTCATAAATAACTAACAAACTTGCCACTTACAAATGATTTATTTTTGAACAGGTTGACTCACCTGAGCTAAACAACATACCCGTTAGTGCTAATTTGCTATGCTAATTACTTAAAGACAAAAAAAAAAAGTATTCATCATGGCTAGAGTAGATAAAGCAGAACAGTAAAACAAAAACAGAGAACACAAAATGAAAGAAAAGAACAAATTAGAGAGGTTTAAATGAAAAGTGAAAAACACAACTACAACATTTTTAATTCTCAGAAAACTCATTTTTTAAACTTCAATATATACATCAACTGAAATTTCAACTTTGGGCATGCAATCTATGTATGAAAGGCATTTATACAAACAAAAAAAAATATTTTTATGGTTTTATTTAGTCATTAAATTAAATTGTCAAAAATTTAATTAAGTTTACACCAAAAAAACAAACTAAAAGAATACATAAGAGCTATATTTTAGACATGGAAGTATATTTGTATCTAGGAAGTATATTTATATCTAGGAAGTATAGGTATATAGACTAAAAAATCTATAACAACCACCAACTTTTAAACTAAAAATGAAAATTTTAAAATCTTGAAAAAGAAATCAAACCTTAGAAAATATTTTCTGCAATGGATCAGTGTTGACACTTTCTTCTTTGTGAGATTTTACAGGTTCCCTTAAGTTTAAAGCATTTAAAAACAATTTTATTAATATCAAAAAGGAACACAATAAAAAATAAATACATTAAAGAAGCCTAAAAAATTTTTTTTATTGTACACCCCGCCACACACCGTCCTTCTCATTTAGTAAAGTTTGATGAAATAAATAATATGTTTAAAATAATTTGGCCATCTGATGAAGGAAAGTGAGTATAGCCACTTTACATACATAGCAGTAACTTACTCCAAGTTCCAAGTACTAACCTTTAGCCCTTTTTTGTGACACTGTATCTAAATCAGTAAAATAACTTTTGTTAAAACTTCATTGTCTCTACTTTAATTATTCAGTGATTGACAACACTCTTATGTGCACCTAGGTAACCAACACCTTTAACTCTAGTTTTGGAGATTGTCAAGAATTTCATTTGCTAATATTTACACAGAATTACAAGTACCACTGACTGTCACTGAAGGTTAAAACTTTTGTCTTCAATCTTCTTCCCAGATATTTATGAGTTTGTGACTTATTTTCTAGAACACCCTAATCACTTACTCTTTGTTTGGGCTCAGTTTCTTTTAGTTCAAACCTTGTTATGCTTTCACTAAATCTTTTATCTTGTTGTTTTTGTATTTCAGATTCACCCAATCACTGAACTTTTATTTAACATTTTTAGAGTGACTGGGATTTGATTCGAAATTTTATTTTTGATGGTCCTCAGCCTGTTTTTTTTGTTGTTGTTGTTATTCTGCTGAAAATTGGGCTTTCTATATAATCTCCTTATTACTCTAAAAATTGGGCTTCCTATATAATCTCCTTGTTTCCCTGAAAATCGGGCATCCTATATAATATCCTTGTTTCCCTGAAAACTGGGCTTCCTATATAATCTCCTTGATACCCTGAAAATTGGGCTTCCTATATAATCTCCTTGTTTCAGGCAGACATAAAAGCTTTTATTTCTTATCTCTTTCTAGTAAAGCTTTTTTCTTCCCCATGTATTTACCTCAATCTTCCCCTTTTTGAGAGATTGCCATAATGAATTATAATCATTTCTTTTATATCTTTTTTATTTTTTCATAATTGTAGTAAATTCATTCAAAACAGTATCCGTTATACTCAGTTTATCTCATATTTTATCTTAAATGTTCTAAAAGAAAGTTCTTTTAAAAAAGTGTTAACAAATTAACAATATATAATTATTATCAATATATTGTTAATTTATATAAATAGTATCATTAACAAAAGCAAGTCTACTATTCCATTATTCCAAGGATAATGCATAATTATTCACAAATATTTGTTTTCATTTATCTATTAAATTTAATGATCATTAGATTCTTGACATACAGTGGAGCAGGTTAACCCTTTTAGAAAAATAAATCACCACAGTATCTGTTGCTTATTTCTTTAACTCTTCTAAAGGTCTCAAAATTCCTGTCACAAAAGTGTTTTCCAGAACTCTTTCCAACTTTTCTAAACTATTTAATAAGTGTTTAATTGAATATTCTTTTCCTACATGCTAGAAAATCTTTTAACTTTTAAAACTTCCTAGTAGTTTTACATGTATGTATGTATGTATGTATGTATGTATGTATGTATGTATGTATGTATGTATGTATGTATGTATGTATGTATGTATGTATATATATTTTTAAAAGTTAAAAGATTTTCTAACATGTAGGAAAAGAATATTCATATATATTTATTTTCGTGAAGACACTTGGAAATTAACTTTGTTATATTATTAAGTAGCTCTTCAGCATTTTTATTAAGTACAATGATCAGTTTTTCATACAAACAAAGTAAACATTTTTTTAAATATAACTGAGCTATCACTGATATGTGTTTTATATAAACAAAGTAAACATTTTTTTGTTGTATTGTTGTAGGCAGGGGCCTTTTTAGAACAGACCAAGTTAATTCTGGTGTTTCTTTCAGTTTTTTTCTAGTTTCCCATATATGCTTTGAGAGTGGTTGCATTTGAAAGTTTCTTATTTGTAAATGATTGTTTGTGGTTTGCATACCTCTTTTTCCACACTCCTTCTCATAAACCAATGTATGCTTTGCTGGGTGTGTTTGGGGAAGATGTTATACATTTGTAAATGATGTTTGTCGCTCTACAATTTTTATTCAGCAGGCAGATTTCTTTTTGTTTGCAATTGCAAGGGAGATTTTCAGTGTTGTTAACTAAATTTATTTTTTTCTTGTGGCTTTTTATGATTTTTGAAATGCTTGAGCAGCTGTAGCTAATTTTTGTAGTGTTTCAATTGAATTTATGTAGTGTTTATTTAATTTATTGAGTTTATGTAATGGGGCAGGTGGTTTGATTCGGTGTGGATGTAGAGCAGTTGGTCATTTTGTTTTTTGAAAGGTTGGTAAGAGTTTTTTCGAAGATTAAAAGTTACGTCAAGAAAATTAACACTGTTTAAATTGGTTTGAATCTCTATTTGAAATCCAATCTTTTTAAATATCTCAAATATATTTTTTCTGACTTCGTTTGTGCGGTAGTTTTTTTGCACATCACCATCAATCCGTCGTCTCGGTAAAGACATATCATTTTTAGTAATGGTTTTGGATAAAGAGTCTAGAATGTATAAACCTACCAGTTCACATTTTAAAATATAATAGCGATTTTCTGCAATGATTTATGACTCAAATTTTTTCACTACTGATTTCAGTGTGCTGTTTTGCAAATATTAAAGCGTTATTTAGTATGTCTTTTGTGATGGATGGGTAAAATTCATTGATGTCGAGTTGTATAAATACACAGTTTTGCTTGTTGCTTATGTTTGTAAACCATTTGATTACTTCTGCGGTGTTTTTCCATTGGTTTAGTTTTAATTTATTTTTTAACTCCTTGTTAATTTTATCTAGGTATGTTTTGTTGACAACGCCAAGTTCACTTTTTGCTGGATTTAATAAGTGGCAAGGTTTTTGATTTTTAAAGTTGTTTTTGTGGTCTTTTAATGTAATAAATGCTTCTGATTTGGCGATTATATTGATTTGTTTGTTTATATTTAGTTTAGTTGCTATGCTTTTTACCTCGAGGTTGATTCAATTTTCTAGTTTTTTAGGTATGTTTTAGTAATTTTTTAGTATGTTTTTCTTTCAATAATTTGGAGTAATCTTTGGGGGGTAATTGGTAAATCTTGTTGATTTTATCTGCAAATATTAGGATGTTTGGATTAGATTTAATTTTTGAAACGCCGTTTTTTAATTTTTTTTGAAATCGGCTTTGGGATTTCTTAAACTTTATTGATTTTACTAAGTTAAATAGTTCTGTCTCAAAGTTTTCTTATTCTTTGCATTGGCGTTTTTTCCATTTTTAATCCAAAATTTTCTTGTGTACTTGTTTCGGTTTTGTTCATGTGAATATATATATATATATATATATATATATATATATATATATATATATATATATATATATATATTCATTATATTTTTGTGAAAGATGCTAAGAGAACCTGTGTTTTACTGAATAGGCAAACTGCTTTAAACATTTTCACACTCAATAAAAATTTAATGAAAGGAATGAAGTTTATTATGGTTTATTCATTTAATGTTATTTATATATATATAAATATATATAAAATATATATAAAATTAAAACTAAAATTAATATTACAAAATAAATGCTATTTACAAAAAGTTTAACATTAAAAATAATATTTTTTGTAATAATACTTTTAAAATACCAGCAATTACTTACAGCCTGAAAATTTAATTTATACTTTATTTTAAAACTCCATCACACTTTACTTTTTAGCTGTTTTATAAAATCTTTCTATACAAAAGTACAGCAAAAATGAAAAAAATAAAAACTTGATGATAAAAGCTTATATATTTAGTAGTAATAAAACATCTTTTACACTTGGTAGTAATCAGTGCTTGATGTGGGGCAAGATAGCTATCCATCTTTTAATTAAATTATGTAAATTGTTCAATTTATTTGGAAATTAATTAAGAAACCCAAGGTTTACAGCACATAAATGGTACTTTTTACATTTGGTTAGCCATTATTATCAATTTTAAATTGAACAGAAAGTTAACTATTGTCAAAAGATACACTTTTGAAGAAAAAATGAAAAAAAAAAGGTATAATAAAAGTTTAACGTTTGATTATACATATTTTTTTAATGGTCAATGTGTATTAAAAAAAATTTATCTATTTTTTTCAGACTTGATGAGAATTTAAAATATTGCAGATTACTTAATTAGAAAAAGCAACAACAAATGAATGAGGAATACTCCTTTCTTTAAACACCAAAAAGAATTTGTGGGAAAAAAAAGTCCTACCTCCCTGCCACCACCAAATATTATTCATGAATGCAAATACCAACCAAGACAGAACAGCTCATAAAAAGGTGAACAAAACAAAACAGAGCCGATCAGGGTTATCCAAGTACTACTTAAATCTGCAAGCATCCAACATGAGGCACTGAGAAAGGGTAACTACCACAACATAGAAAAATTTAAATGAGTATACACACATGAAGACCAAACTCCAGCCGAACAAGAAACAATAAACAAACTATTTAACAAAAAAAAGCAAAAGAATGAAGAGCTTGTAAAGGCAAAATTGAATAAGCTCTTTCGTTGGATTATCCACAGACATACTGGATCTGTGTGATGCATTGATGTTAAAACAATCCAGTAACAAGAAGAAGTGTATGCTGATCAGCAAAGATCAATTAAACGAAATCAAATCAGTCACCACCACCAATAACAACAGCAATCAAAATAATGCTGCAACCACTGCTGCCACGCCACAGGCTCAAGCTTAAATCTCACCAACCTGACTCCACATTTAATCTCCAATCCTTTGCCACTACCAATAAAGCCAATCACAAATAACTCAATTTCTGGGCAAATAATCCATGCTCACTGAATGGTGCCAAAGGAAATGAGCTGATGGCAAGAATAGACATTAAAGAACCAGCAGACAAACCAGACTTGCTCTTCTTTGCAGAATAATGGTTCACTGAAACGTCAGACATTCAACTACCAGGATACCAA